TGTATTCTTATGTATATATTTCCCTTATTTTCATTTGTTTTTTTTTCATATAATTTTATTTTACTATGATATTCTATTCATTTGAATCAATCTTACTATATTTCCTCATGTTGTATTTTAAAATATTCCTATCATATTTGTTTTAATATATTCAATGATTATCTCTCCTTCAATGCACACCCAATTACGGGTTACATATTCTGGCATTAATATTTGTGTTTATGCATGCGTTGCAATGATTAAAAATGAAAGATGGTATGGTCTTGTTTTGGAATATTCATGATGCATAATAAGTTCGTTGATAAAAATAGAATCAAGCAATGAGGCAAATAAAACCATCACTTGATATTAGGATGGGGAGTATATAGGGTGATTCCTATCATGAATGTAATCATTAGTTATACGGGGCTAGAAAATTTCATACTGGACGGGGTTGGGAGATTGTGAATGACACTCATATTGGACGAGATATAGGAACGATCGATATAAGCAGCACTCATATCGAATGGGGTATGGAGTGGTCAGTTTAAGTGGCGTCTATTACCGGACGGAGTGTGGGGATGAGCGATAGTTGTGAAAGAAATGTAGGTATCCACGAGTAGGAAAAACCCCCTATGGAACCCATAGATACTGGCGAACAAAAATAATGGTAAAGGATGGGTAAGGGAATGATAAACAATTAATAGCATTTTATTATCTTCCTGAACATATCTAAATATTGTACATGAAATTGTCTAACAAGAAAGTATGTGATAAATTGTGTTTTTATAAAAAGAAATGGTGTGATCGCACTAGTGTGGTTTTTAATACAAAGTAAGTGTTCCATCAGTCATTTTATGTTTTATACCACCCTTTGGTTACTGTTTCAGCGGTAAGGTTTTTGGCATTTTTATTGAGCTATTATTCTTATTACAATTTCATATCAGAACGATCAAGACTAGATATAGGACAATAAGAGAATATATTAGAACATCATCCCCATCCGTCCTGCCGCATTCGAATTAAGATTAATTATTATTGTAATAGTTATCTTTTGTTTTAAGTTCTAAACATTCAAGTAGCCCCGAACGTGCAAGGAATGTAACCTTTAAATTTTAATTCTTCTACTAAATGAAAGATTTCAGTATTATTCATATTACTATTATTGGATTAAATGCTCGAAATCTCTGATAGGGATTTGGCCTTTTACAATTATATTTAATTTTATTATTGTAACTAATTATATTGTAACGCATTTTCTATAGTGTTGGTTATCTATTTGTTGTTCATTTAAAAAAAAAAAACAAATTGATTTCTATATTGTGTTCAATTGATTGAAATGGACATAGTAATCATCTACTTGATAATAAGAAAATGAGAGCAAGATCATGAGAATTTTGTATTTCATTTATTTGTTTTAGTACTTTATCGGCTCAACCATCTAAGGCAAGTAAAGAATGGATGAACTGTGTTTCCAAAATTTTCAAATTTTTTATACAACAATACTATCAAATGAAATAAGAAAAATGTTAAAGCATCAAGTATCTTCAAAAAATAAATAAAGTAAGTGAAAGAATGATTAAGAGATTATAGACATTTATTTTTTTTACTAATACATATAATATAAGAGAATTTTCCGCACATCTTTTATAAAACCCAAGAGATTGGAAGAAAAATTTTCTTATTACCTTTTTTAAAAAGTAAATATAGAACCTGAATGTTTATGATTCAAAAATAGCTCAAGAATAAATATAAAAACTGTGCACTTAATTTTTCAAATAATTTATCAAAAATTCTTTAAAATAATATATAAGAAATATTTTAAAAATCAAATAATATGTCATTAAATACAAACAAAAACAAATCAGATATGAGCATTAAATACTTAAAAAAATCAAATCCAATATTATTGGTGTAATTTGAAAGGTGTGTCACAATTCTTTGTTACACATTTATAAAATACATAGAAATTTTTTATGTGAGGAAACTATGTGGTGAATTTCACCATTCACATTGTCTAAGTACCTCATGATGTGAGGAGATAATATGATGTATTTCATTACATCATATTGTATGGGTATCTCTCAATTCGTTGAGATAAAATTATATATTTATCACATCACAAAATTTAAATATTTCTCACTTTGTCCAGAAAACATGATGCATTCATCACATCATATCGCCTAAACACCTCTAGAATTTTTTCAATTTGGTATGTTTCAAAAATTATTTTTAAATAGTTTTTTTTACATAAAAAAAGGCTTCTTTAAAGATGTAATTTTTAGATATATTTAAAATAAAAGAGCAACCATTGAGCATTTTTTTAGTCACCTATTTACTAGAAACTTAATGTGCTTTAAATCTTGCTCTCTATTTTTCTTTTTTACAATCACTTTGCTTTGAGATCTTCAAAACTCGTTTCTATTTTTGGACCTTTGCGACACTGTATTTCAAAATTCTCTTTGTACAAATATATAAATATAAAAACAAGTTTAAAATAAAAAAAAAAAAACAGTATAATTTAATTGAACTATTTTATATTTATACACGTATATATTCAATTAATTTTGAAAATAATTAATTTGCATGCACATATTAAATTAATTGTAAATTAGTTTAATTTTGTAAAGAAACATGCATGCATTAAATTAGTTACATGAATGTATTAGGCTAATTCTAAAATTAATTCTTAAAATAACTAATTACATGAATTTATGGCATTAATTTTAAAAATAACTAATTAAATGCGCATATTAGTTTGATTATGAAAATCAATTCTGTAAATAATTAATTTATATTCATTTGTCAAAACTAATTTTAATTCAAGTTTAGGGATAATTAATTTTCTCTAATAATATGGCTCTGTTGTATTAGTCTCAGCACAATAGTTAATTTTTTTTTTTTTTTCTCTTTTTTTGCACTTTCCCCCCTAAATTATTAGCATAATAAAAACAATATAGATAATTAATCTTGAAGTATAATATTAAAAAGCACATACTTAAACACTGATTCCCACTCTTTGAATCTTTTCATTCCTTACGTTTTGCAAACATCTTTTTTAGCCCCAGTTTTGTTTTGAACAAGCCAAATAACTTGCTCACTTTCTCCCTCTAAAGTTTGCATTTATTCTAAAATGACTACACCGAAATTAATAAATAATTTAATTAAAAAATGAAATTAGTTTTACACATATGCATGTATGTATTAAATTAATGTTGTAAATAATTAATATACAATTAGTTTACATGTAAATAGTTGTTTTGTAGTTATGTATACAATTAATTTTAGAAACAGTTAAGTAATTTTAATATTTAATGTTATGTAATTTATTACATATAAAATATCAATTTAACTATAATTTTCACCAATTAAATTTTTAGTTATGGATTTATACAACAAGTAGATTAAAAAAGAAGAACATATATTTTTCCAAATCAAAAGATATATAAATAATTAATACAAATAATTTATGTAACCATATATTAATAATCAATTGTACATACTTATAATAACAATGAATTGAATTCAGAGAAAGCCGAATTTTCTTGGACAAAAAAGAAAAACTCAACAATATTTCATGTTAGCGTCAAAGATGTAAACCGTCTAAAAAATAATCTCTACAGAATATGCTATTGATTATTAGCTAAGGAATTAGTCGTTGTTGTGGTTCATATACCTATTATGTTGTAGTATTCAAGCTTTTATTTTTGCAACTTCAGTTGCAGTTTATATATTTAAGCAAATCTATGGAAGGTTATTGTTATTATTATTATTATTTTTTAAAACCGTCTTTTGTTAGGTTAGTTTAATGCAATGTAGACATAATCTATTAGAGAACATAAATATACAAATACGATATATGGCTGTTTCAATTTTCTTCATAAAAATTGGAGTTCAGAACATAAATTAATTGAAGTATTTATACTTATACATGTATGTAATTCAATTAATTTTGGAAATAATTAATTTGCACAGACATATTAAACTAATTCTTCACCGCAGTCATTAAAACAAGCTCAAAACTCAAGGATAAAAATTAATCCCTAAAAATGTTCTTCACCGCATTCATTTAAACAATCGATTTTTACTCTTTTTAGACCCCGTCAAACGCCAACTTTTTCTTCATGCATACTAAGAAAAGTCAAACTATTTTTGTCTTTTTCCATTTTCATCTGAAACACCACATGGCTTCATCTCCAAAACGACAACGTTTTACACTGTCTCAGCCTGAATTGATAGTAAATAAGACAAACCCCAAGGGTAGATGTGAAAGGTCAACGGAGATAGGACATGAGACAACTATTGACACAGATAAAATTGTGGATCCATTTAAGAAAGTTTCCTATTTGGCTACCTGTTTGTTTTTTTTTTTTTTTCATATATTATGATATCTATCTTTCATATTCTCCAGCCTTTGGCTCTTTCCTTTTTTTTTTTCCTCTGTTTATTGGCCTTGCTCAGCGCTTTCCGCTTCCTTCACCCCTAGGGCTTTCTCTTTATTCCTCTTGGTTGCGGAAGTGCATATCTGAGTTTTAGGCCATGAAAGGCTCAGTTAGAGGAAGTGTGAGAGGAAGCGTGAGAGGAAACCATATTTTCTCAGGGGAAATTAGCCTCCGGGGACAGAAATTCGGGAAGCTAAAGAACTCAAAGGCCACAGAGAATGATTTCTCAGCCGGACAAGAAGAATGTACCGAACGAATGACGTTGATCGATGGCTCTGTTTGTAACGATGAATCCTTCTTGATTTCAAACTCACCAAATGCATTAATGGGATCACTTGTTCGCGAAGAGGGGCATATTTATTCATTAGCCGCCTCTGGTGATTTTTTGTATACGGGATCAGATAGCAAAAACATCAGAGTTTGGAGAAAACAGAAGGAGTTTTCCGGGTTCAAATCCAACAGTGGGTTGGTGAAAACTATAGTGATTTCCAGCGAGAAGATCTTTACAGGACATCAAGATGGGAAAATTCGTGTATGGAGGAATTCTCCAAAGAATCCAGGAACACACAAACGTATAGGATCACTCCCAAATTTGAAAGATTGTGTTAAGAGCTCCATGAAACCAAGCAACTACATTGAAGTAAGGCGCCATCGCAACGTGTTATGGCTAAGGCATTTTGACGCTATCTCTTCTCTTAGCTTGAGCGAAGATGAATCTCTTCTTTATTCCGCTTCATGGGACAAGACGCTTAAGGTGTGGAGAATTGCAGATTCAAAGTGTTTGGAATCAATCAACGCTCACGATGACGCGGTTAACGCCGTCGTTGCTGGGTTTGATGGGTTGGTTTTCACAGGTTCAGCCGATGGAACCGTGAAAGTTTGGAGAAGAGAATATCAAGGGAAAGGAACCAAACACTTTTTCTCACAGACATTGTTGAAACAAGAATGTGCTGCTACAACTTTAGTTGTTAACTCCAACTCTACCGTCCTTTACTGTGGTTCATCAGATGGGTCGTTAAACTACTGGGAACGTGAAAAGCAACTCTCTCATGGTGGCGTGTTGAGAGGACACAGGCTAGCAATTTTATGCCTGGCCACGGCAGGAAATCTCGTGTTTAGTGGATCGGCCGACATGGGTATATGCATATGGAAGAGAATGGAGAGCGGAGAACATTTATACGTCTCCATGTTGACCGGCCATTCTGGACCAGTCAAATGCTTAGCCATAGTGAAGGAGAATGAAATAGTTTCCAGCGATAAGACTTGGGTATTGTACAGTGGCAGTCTAGACAAGTCTATCAAGATTTGGCGTGTATCAGAGCAAGGATCGGCGATGATGCAGAATCAACGACAATATACATCCGATAGCTGCCATGGAGCTCCGACATTGCCGCAGGCTACTAGCTTCTCTTCTCGGGGAGGAGGCGGACAAAGTCAGAGAAGGCACTAGCTAAAAATTGTAAACAACAGTACTAAATTTATGCCAGCTAATTCATGTTAGTTGACACTTCTCTTGTTTCTCCATATTTTTCTATACTGCGGGATAATATAATTTTTATACCCAGGAGAATGGGTATTTGAGATCATACAAAGCGTGCAAGACTAATAATAATAGAATATTCTGCAAGCCAATTCATCTTTTATATATATATATATATATGTATATATATTTTGAGAAGAATATCATTGGTAATAGTTTCATTTAAAAGATATTATAATAATATATTTCATCAATAAAAATTAAGTTGTAAGGTTTTATCACATTATTGCAAACTCCCAACAATAAAAATTCATTAAATTGTTAACAACAAATAAGAAAGCATTTTACTTATTTTACTTTTTAATGGTGGAAGCTTATAGAAACTTTCTAATAACATTTTGAACTTTTTGTAAATTGCTAAATAAACACAAGCTTATAAATAATTTAAACATATTATAAACCTTTGGAATAGTGTTTTTAAGAGTTGTTGATATCAATTTTTCTAAGAGAAAAGTTATGGACTAAAACTTTTGCAAGATCTTTAACATTCTTATTGAATGAAGAATTTGCTTTATTTATCAAGATACCTCTTGTTGTAATAACTAGTATGTAAGTGACAGCTATTCTAAAAAAAAAAAAATTATATTTGATAAGAATTTTTTTTTTCCAAGTCCATGTAAAATTTTATAATTTCATTCATAAGGATCAAAATCAAAAACAAAGAAAAGAACTTAGGCAAATCCAAAATTTTGTAAAATAAGAGGAGGGATTAAAATAAGAAGGTTATGTAAAATGGGGATAAAAATGTAAAACTGAAAACTCTTTACATCTTAATGGCTAAGGTGTCCCGAAGAAAAAATTAGGAGGTTACACATGGCTCAAACGCGTCAGGAGTTCGCTGGTAACACGAGAATGAATGAGATCCTACCACGCGAGCTTTACGTGATAGATCGGAGGGTAAAAGGGGGGTCACTTAAGATTCTACGGTGTAGATCGCCCCTTTCGTATCAATGACTGTGATTAAATCAAGACCTATATAAACTGAAGGTAGGTTTTTTTAAAAAAAAATATATATGAAAACCTAATTCCAAAAACTAAGGCAGATAGAAGGAGAGGGAAGGGAAGAAATCAAGGAACGCGAGCACCTCCTTTGGTAGTTGCAGACATCATCGCAATAAAAGCTAGCCTTTAGTGTTTAGTACATATTTTTCTTCTTATATCAAAAAATCGAGAATTATAGACACAGGAAGGTATGAGGAGGATCGTTTTGACTGTCGAAACTTCAATAAAACATGTAATTAGAAACTTAACCGTCTAAATAAATCTCCCCACTTAATTTTACACCCAACTATATGACATAGAAAAACAAGCAATAGGAAAATTAAAAAATAGGAGAAGAAAAAAACTATAACTTACCTGATAAGTCGATCCTAACTCTTCGACTCAACAGGATTTCGGAAAGATTCTCAACTTTAAAGAACTTGAAAATGCTAAGAAAATTAACCAAAGCTAATTTTTAAAGAAAGCACAAAGCTTAATTTTATTAATATCAAATATTGTGTTTATAAACTAAGAACTTAAACCTTTATATTTTATTTTATTTTTTAATTCTAATCGGAATAGGATTTAGAATTCCTATCTAAATTACAGGACTTAATTTAATTAGAAAATAAATACATAATTAATTAAATAATAAAAATATTATCTAATAGACGAGTTCATCTTTTGACTTGTACTCCTACTTGGACTCCAACTCATCATCTTTCTCTTATTCTTGATTCTTGATGATTCTTGAGTGGAAGTTTTGTTGTAATTCTTCTAGATGTGAAATAGGTCTTCAAGAGGTCTTCAACATGTAAAATTCCTCATTGACTAAATTCATGGTGCTTCCGAGTTTTTTTTTCATGTTGAATTCTTGCTTCATCTCCTTGATTGATTGTATGTGACTTGAACTCTTCTTTTTCCAACTTGTTTTCTTCCATAGAGATATGGATTTCTTCTTCTTTTAGGACTTGTGATGAAGGTAGGAAAATGGTCTCCTCATGTGGGTCGAAGTCCTCTTGTTTCTCCTCTTTTTTTCTATGGTGTTTAAATTCAATAAGACTTGGGAATTCTTTGGCCAATTGCTTCAATGAGTCTTTTTTTTTTTTGAAATTGGATTGCTGACTCTTTTGTTCATCAAGTTCAAAGATGATCAACGTCCTCTTACACCTAAACTGTTCTTCTCTTGATGAGTGTCGGCCTTGACCGATAGGTGGAGAAACCATGTTTGGCTGGTTCTTTTTGGCCTTCTTAGGTGGTGGCCAAGCCGTATCTTGGTCCTCCAAGGGAGACCATAGGCTTAAGGCCCTTTTCTCCTCTTGAGTTGGGTCGTTCAAGCACCTTTTGGGCTGTTCTTTGGTGGCATGACCAGTGGGCCTTCGAGTTTTGGCCTTTTACTACTTAGATCAATTCTTTTGCGCTCTATGGGCCTCAACCAATGCATGCAATCAAAAAACTTAACCACTTAAATCCCCCTACCTACTTGAATCTAAACACACATATATGGCAAACAAAAACAAGATAATAGAGAAAATAAAAAAAAGAATGAAAGACGTTACGACTTACCCGATA